CTTTGAATTTTATGTGAGCTGCAGAAAGTCAGTTTTGGTTATGGCAGCTCATAAATATTCTTTCCTGTCCAGATTCTGACAATCTCCAGGGACCGGGTTAGCATTTCCCGAGAGTCAAGATGCATAAGTGCACCATACTGATAATGCCAAATCCTTTACAAACATATAACCTCCCCGGATTCATGTAGATGTCTGAAAGGAGTGGAGACAGGTCAGATCCCTGGAGGACTGCAAGAAGTAGGGGTCTCTTGGCATACCCACTTCCACTGTCAACACTGATTGGAACTAATGCCTAAGGAAGATGGATATTGACTGTAGAGCAGTGCCCTCTCTTGATTCCTTCAGAGACTGTCCAAAAGGATTGGCATTCTCCTGATTCTACTGTCTCCATCCATAAGTGTGACCAATATGGTTTCTACACTGTTATACCAGTCTCAATCCTGCTTGGGCTCAAAACATTTGTTTTCATCAGAATTTCTTGCACTTCACAGTCTTCCAAGGGAAGATGGTTTGAGACCATTAGAATATCTTGTAAGAACTTGCTGTCCTTTCATGACACCTGAAATCAATTCCAAGAAATGGAATCCTTTTTTTTTTTTTGGGTGGGGGAGTGTGGTGTCTTCAAGGCAGTGTTGACTCATGGCAGATGCCTGGGCTATTGCCTGCATTTTTCTTGGCAAGGTTTTTCAATACTGGCTTGCTATTGCCTCCTTCCTAGAGCTGAGAGAGAGTGACTGACCCAAGGTCACCCAGATGGCTTCATGCTTAAGATGGACTACAACTCATGGTTTCCTAGGCCTGATACCTTAACCATTACACCAAACTACCATATACTGGGAAAAAAGGAAAGAACAAGTTTGTTAAATTAATATTCTGAAACACTGTTTTTATTTCTTAACATTTTTTTCATTTATCAGTATATGATTCATTTTTTCCACTAATTAAGTTTTAGTGATTCTCAGTCACATCAATATGTGCTGAAAGCTTGCATGCAAATTATATTTTAAACAATCACAAAATCCAAGGAGTCTCACTGAGTCATAAGTGTTATATAATACATTTCTGCCTTGGGGAAAACTGGAATTCCCAATCTGAACATGTCAGTCAGCCGCAATATCACCCTGATTCTATTTTCTCAAATATTTTACAAGAATTCTGAACTAGGCCTGAAATACAACCGTCTCTTTATTATTAGAATGTTGAAGGCATAAAAAACAATGAATTTATTATATCCTGAAATTATCAGTCATTTATTATATTTTCTGCCTTCTGTATATGAGTGAATAACAACAATAGTAATAATAATGATTCATTTCAATCGTCATTATTAAACCCCTTTTCCCATATAGAAATTTTGATTTGGAAAGAAGTTCCAACTGATTTTGGTTTAATAAATTATTCATTTACAATGGGACAGTGATAAGGAGGTAGAATCTAAGTTAAGAAAATTATTGGAGCTTTGCAATACTAAAGACCAATAAAACTTGTCCAAAAAAGAGCTTTAACAGAGAATAACATAGGAAACCATATCTGATCCATATCTGTCAATAAATTTGAAAAGTTCAGAAGTGTATCCTGAAATTGGTAGTAACGTGTCCTTGATTACTTTTGCTTTGCAGGGAAGTACAGTAAGTAGTAAAAGTAATTCACCACATGTGATTTTAAGAAACTTTAAGCCTGAATTTTTTATAGCTTGTATAGTGCATTATGACAAATTAAAGCTTTCAAGATTGCCACAATGGTCTAAAATCTAATCATTAGATAGTTATGCTACTCTGCAAATACACAAGAGACAAACTGATATGAAAAAAATCTGTGATAATACAGGAAGTGATAAAAAAGGTAACTTGAGACCAGGTCTGTAAAGCAAAGAAAAGCTGAAGTAAAACTATAAACACATTTAGTGAAAGTTTCAGTGAATGACCTATTTGTATTCCATTAATGATTTCCTTCCTTCCTTCCTTCCTTCCTTCCTTCCTTCCTTCCTTCCTTCGGCATTCAGAAAGGGAGTAGTTATAGTAAACAGAAAAACTGAGTTTTCATCCTATTCTGTTCTAGGAATAGTGCAGCTGTTTGGATCAATGTGGGAACAGTGCTTTGGATGCACAATCAGAATCTTACTATACCTGCTAACAGTTCCTTAAAGCAGGCATGCATTTTTCTGGGTTTGTACTTTTTTTTTGTCTGGGACCAAAAAACTACCATGTGAGCCCAGAAAAGGTGCAGCTGCTGACAGGAAGAATGAGCATGTCCATGCCTGATCAGAAACATCTTTCTTGTTCTGGATACAGATCATTTCATATCCCTATTTTTATATAATTTTCTAAAATAACAGTGCCACCTAGTGCTCTTACTATCTCACAGGGCACTTCACCATAACTGCTGCATATTCCAACAGTATGAATGAGTTTATGGGCACACAGACACTCCACTTATTTGCAGTTGTTATGGATCTTGACAAATAGGATTCTCATATCCTAGGACCATTTAGGCCTGTTCCATCTTGTGAAAAATGCAGTTCTGAAAGGAAGGAAAAACATGTGCACGTTTGGGGCATATCTGCACATATATTTTGTGCATATTTCATAGAATCACAGAATGAAAGGCTTGAAAAATACCTTAAGAAGCATTTTGTCTAACCTTATGCCCAATACAGGAGTATTCTACTAAAGCACTTTTTTTAAAAAAAGGCCGTAAATCTTTGTTTAAATACTTTCATTGAAAGAGGTAATCTCTTCCATTGTTGTACATTACTTGAGAATTAACAACCAATAGATACTCTTTTATTATTTTAACACATCTTTCGTTTCCTATTTTCTGAAACAACTCTAATAATTCTGCCCATTATCTATTTTACGGTTCTCAGGTATTTGAAGTTAACTTTCACATCTCCTAGCAATCTTCTGTTCTCCAGGCAAAACATATTTAACATCTTCAACTACTCCTCTTTAATTTCTATTTTGATACCCCTTATTATCTCAGTTGCTTTTATCTGGACCACTTTGTGTTCATCTAAAATGTGGAAAGCATATTCCAGTTATGTTTTTACCAATACAGAATAGAGAAATGATGATTTCTTTGGATTTTGATGCTACATACAGTATCTGTCAATACAGCCAGGATTGCATTTTGCTTTTTTACAGCTACATCATCCTGCTAGTCCATGTTCAGCCTGCGGTTCATTAAGATACGAGGAAATGAGTCTCATCATATTCAGTGAACCATAATCCTTAGTTCATATGTATGAAGAAAACTGCACTTTATTCCTTTTTCTAAAGGATTTTTAGTATTGATCAATTTGCTATAAACAACTCATGGAAATTTTGCATTTAACAAATTGGGAAAAATCACTTTATAAACACAATGTACAAATTTATAGTATTGATACACCTTTTTTCATCATGTGTGATGGACCTACATATTGGCTAATGATAAATCCTCGAATTCCTGCCTATTTGGCTTTTGCAGAGCTGTGTCATCTTAAATATTTTGTGATTCAAAGTGAATGAAAAGTGATGATGTCTTTTTGGAAAGGTCCATTGCTTTGATTATAAGTGTTGAATTTTGTTTTTTAAGTAGAAATCCTTTGGTATTAACTGTGAAACCAGTGAGTCATTTTATTATGATTTGACTCTTTCAGTTGGGTTGTTCAATTCTGTCACAAGAGAGGCAAAACTGCCAAAATTTGATGCCTTTATCCTGCAACAAATCCCCTAAATAATTTTCATAGATTATTATTGTAAAGATTATTGCCACATATGATCGACGATCAATACCTTCTAATTATTTACTGATCTAGAATTCAGATGATCTTAATTCATATTAAATTAATTCTATCACTAATTGCAACTATAAATAGGAGAGGCTAAAAACAAATTCAAGATAAAAATGGGTGACAACTACAAATAGTGATAAAATAACCTCCCATGCACCATGACAGATGAATTCAATATAATAATTATTAGATTGTAATAATTTAGTGTTGTAATAATTATTCATAGTGGGAGTATACACAAATCCCTGTTCAAAATGTTTATGACTAAAAAAAATGGACATTATTTGAACTGGGAATCTTGTACTTGATCCTAAAATAGATGAATTTTCCATTGTACCCAAATTGCATAGGCTTTTTCATCACTGTTAAAGTGTTGGCTGGCATCTTGAAGGTTTTGTAATCTTTGTTCAGTGTGGGAAATATAGACTGAAGCATCCCCAACCATAGCTATCAGTTTGAAAAGAGAATTCTCTACAATAACTGAATCAATTGTTACAATTATTTTGAGAAGCCTTTCCTTTTTTCTTTAAAGACTATCCATCATCACCACCACTATCTATCTTCCTTCAAAACAGTTACTTCTAAGCCAGGTATTTGGCTTATAACGTATTTGGTGCCATATTTTACTGATTCTATGTCAACTTTTTGACCTATGTCAATTTTATTAAGTATTTGGTTAGCCACATTTTCAGTTTAGTGTATATTCTTTGCCATTTCTCATTTTTTTCCTGTCCCCTTACATTGCTGGTGCCCTTTACCATGCAAGATCCTTCTAAATGCTTATTCATAATCAAACCTTAATCAAAGTTCCCCCAGAACACTCTAAATAACATTTCTACATTTTTACAGTGAGAAACAACTGAAACATTTTTAGAGCAAAATTCCAAAATTGAGCTATTTAAAAAGTTTTACATTCCCATGTAAAGTAGACAATAAAGAGTTATTAGCAGCTTGATAATAATTCTAAAAAACAGAAATAATCTTATTCATTGAGACCCATTTTTAATTCACACCTTATTATTTTCCATTTCTATTTTGACCTGGAAAACTAGATCTGATTTCAGGAGATGACTGCTCCCTTATAATCCTCCCAAAGTTGTTGTGATGCTCAATCATTTCTTTCTAGTTATCAACATGCAACATCATTTATAATGAGGCCAGCATCCCTATCTTGCACTGATTCTCCAGAGTTTATTATGCATATCCATAGGCCGTATAGCTTAAATTGTCAAAATGTAAGCTATACAAAGCAGAGAAACTGCATGACATTTATCCTGCCTGTCACTTTTGCATAAATAAATGTATTGGCTTGTTTCATACAGGATGATCCTCGGCTGCTGAAGCCAGAACAGAAAAACAGCTGCATTCTGCTATAGCCTCAAAGCTTTGCACAGCCAATCATAAGCTTTAGGATTTGAATGGATGTACATAAATATGTTAAGAGGTAGTGTTTCATAGAAATCAAAGCAATGGGGAAGCATCTATCTGGGGAGGTAAGCTACTTTTTATGTTGTCTAAATTGCTGCTGATCTCTTTTTTTGCATCACTGTGTTTTAATAATCCATCATTACCATATTTCTGTGCTATGGAGGTTTACTTATGACGGGCTTTAGATCTTATTTATTATAGAGTAGGCAGATATCTATCAGAAAGTCTAATTGCTTACTTGTTGTATTTAGCATGCATGCATTTTGATTTTAGTAACCATTGCTTCTTCGGCAAAAGTCACAGAAATGTGGTATGCTGAACTGCAGACTGCAGTTCTAACCTAAAAAGCACTGCAGTATAAAAAAAAAATGTAACCCTGCAGCAAAGTTAGCTAATCAGTTTTGTAAATGTAGCAAACATTAACCTTTTTATTACAGCATCACAATTGTTCATTGAATTTCTTTTACTCACCATGGATGTGAATTATTCTATCATGCTCCAGAGTGAAGTTAGCAGCATGATGCTCAGCCCAGCAGAAAAAAATCAGCACCAGAAAAAGTAGACTCTTCATCTTTTATAGTCAAGAATCTTCTTCACTGCAAAAAACATCAGATGGCAAAGAAGCTGTTGGCATCTGGAAATCTTAATAGTAAAGCTTTATACAGTTTTTCTGAGTTCCATCCTTCTCTTATTATTGCTCATTGTTTTGTGCTTGTAAAATGACAGAGCCACATAATTAAGAAATCTTATTAGGAATGTCCTCTTTGTCGGGAAGTTAGCTCTACAATTAATTGACTGCCAATGACATGTACTGTTGGGTAACTCTGCCCATTAAGAGAGTAATTGATATTTGCAAACCATAAAACATAAGTAAAGATTGTGATCCTTAAAGGTTGTGGACTCCAGTTTAAGTATTCAGAACTATTCTGTTTGTATCTATTAAACAAAAACATACTGTAACTTAGACACAGAATATAAATACTGTTTTGCATCTCGTGACTGTTTTTGCACCTTAGTTAATTTAGCATGCAAGTGCAAGTTCTTCAACTGATCTGAGAGGCAGACTGCAGAGGCATGCTTTCTTACAGAGGCATACTCACCATTTTATAGCTTAGACTGCAGAGAAATGTTGAAAACCTACATAAAACAGGTTAGAGTTGCAGGTTCCACTACTGCAGCTGCCCTGACTGATTTGTATTCATTTCTATTTAGAATGCTGACGCATGAAATTATTGTGTCAGTTAGGGTCCCTGCAGTCAGCAGACCTGCTGAGAGCTGCAGGATAATACTCTGCAGAGGAACAGTTAAGAAAATGAAGGCCTGGAATCCATAGGAAGGGATATAATTCAAGATTTCATCGGCAGAAGATTCTGTTTGGCATTTTCTTTTTAATCAGAAACATTTTCTGGATGTGTATTCTACCCAGAGATTTTTTTTCAGCTGAATCCATGACTAGCTTTTTGCACAGAGCGGTGGTATAAAAGTAGTTGCAAGAGGACATCATGACCTCTGGCACTGAGCTAAAACACATCGTGAAGGATATCTCACAATGAGACTGATCTACCATTGTGAGGAATATCATTGTTCTGACAGTACGTTTTTGCTCATCTCAGAATGAAATTATAGATTAAGGTCAGCAAGTTTTGTGTTTCTGTGTATTTCTCTGTGTGTATAGAGTATGCACTCCTTCATATCCTGTTCACTTTTGGCAACTGCCTGGAGAAATTCCTGCAGTCTTCATGGCAAGATTTTGGAAGTGGTTTGCCATTGTCATTCTTAGGGCCAAGAGAAAGGAACCCAGCTGGTTATGTCCATGGAGGACTTGGACTCATGGTCCCCCAATTTTTAGCCTGACATCTTAACCATTACATCAAAGTGGCTCTCAAGATTAGGGTGAGACAGTTCAAAATCAAATTCATCTAGTGTGGAACTAAAACATTAGATGTTGATCCACTAAATTTATTTATTTATTTTTATTTATTTGATTTGATTTCTATACCGCCCTACTCCCGAAGGACTCAGGGCGGTGCACAGCCAAACAGTAAAACACATACATACAAAATTTAAAAGTAGAATTAAAATCAAATTAAATAATTTTGGCCCGGACAAATTAAAACCCCAACTTTTTAAAACCAATTTTAAAATTGAATATATAAAATACTAAAAGATATTTAAAAATTAAAAATCTTTTATAAAAGAGGGAGAAGATTAGGCCAGGCCCACCTGGTGAAATTATAAGGTCTTTAAAGCGTGGCGGAAGGTGCGCAGATCCGGGATCCTCCGTATCTCCGGGGGGACCTCGTTCCAGATAGTAGGTGCCCCCACAGAGAAGGCTTTCCCCCTGGGTGCCGCCAGTCGGCATTGTTTGGTCAACGGCACCCAGAGGAGCCCCTCTCTATGGGAGCGTACCGGCCGGTGGGAGGCTATTGGTGGTAGTAGGCGGTCCCGCAAGTACCCAGGTCCTGAGCCATGGAGCGCTTTAAAGATGGTAACCAAAACCTTGAAGCACACCCGGAAGACCACCGGGAGCCAGTGCAGCTCGCGCAGGAGGGGTGTTACATGGGAACGCCAAGTCGCTCCCATACACTTATCTACAATGCCTTGAGAGAAAATGGAGACCAAATAGCTTATTCCATAAGCCCCCTTCTATTTATCTTGAGCAAAGCTATTATGTATTGATCAGTCAGGCACAGAATAAACTGCATGTGGGAATCCTCATACATGGAGGCATGTACAGAGAAGTTTATAACCATATTCCCTATGTCAGTGTTCCTCAAACTGGCATTCTCCAAATGTCTCCTCAACTCCCAGTATTTTCCGCAGTGGCACTGTGTTGACTGAAGCATTCTGAAAGTTGAAGTCCATGCTCACTTGGGAAAAGATAATCCAGCACAACTGATTCTTTTTGAACAATATTAATCTGATCCATACAGAGTTAGTTTGCTTATTTGTGGCTTAACATATTGTGTAATGAGTAATAATGGTTTAGTGGCTTAGCATGTTTCATGAATGTAGCTGGTCCTTAGTCATAAATGTGTGGTTTACTATGCAAACCATAGTAAAACAAGCCTTGCTCTCACAACGCATTGTGATCTTCCATGAACATTGCCTTATAATATACAGAAGCTGGAAATATTTAATACATTTAAAATTGAGGACAGCAGAAGAGAGCATTTATTTGGTCTTTTAAAAATTATGTATTTTTTTGTTTTTATAATTTCCACATCGTACATTTTAGTCATTCATCCTTAGCTTCCTAATAGCCTGAATAATCTATAGTTGTTCATAGGTATCTTTCTGTATTAGATGACTGAAAAAAGTGATGAAAACTGCACTAATGGGAAAAGTAGAAAGCTCAAAGGAAAAAAAAAACACAAGAGTGCCAAAAAGTCTGCTGGGTTTTGAACCAACCAGATTCTGAATACAAGACAAGTATTATACACATTGAGCTGTTACAGCATTCATAGGAAAGATATTACAGAGTATGTGAAACATTGATTCATTTGTAGAGATGTTCCTGATTCTACATAATAGCCATTAAAACTGCTCAGATTAGCCTACATCAAGGTCAAGTATTTTCTTCAAACACCAGCAGTGCTTGAGGCAACAGAATATGGAAAAGTTTACTTCAGAAGTGAAGCATAAAAACATGTCCCCGGGGAGCTAAAACAGGGCAATGTTTTCCACCCTTGCCTTCCAAAACTTTCTGAGACAAGGAAATCTGATAATCTGGATAAGCCTGGATCTTATCCAGGAGCCTGGATAGCTCTGCAGACAAGGCACTGTAATTTAACACCAGCTGTCTGCAATTAAAGTAAGTTCGAATCTTGCCAGGCTCAAGGTTGACTCAGCCTTCCATCCTTTTTAAGGTAGGTAAATTGAGGACCCAGTTTGTGGGGGCAATAAGCTGACTTTGTATAAAATATACAAAAGTATGAAGGCTATTGCTTAACACACTGTAAGCCACTCTGAGTCTCCGGAGAAGGGCGGCATATAAATCAAATTTAAAAAAAAAAAAAAGCTTTAGGAGTCAAGTCTTGCTTGAACTCTGAAGTTGGAGCATCCAAATGGGTGTATGCTCTTATCATTGCAGAAAAAAATCCTCCATAAGCTTTATTTTGGTTTCATTTAGGGATCATAATATTCTTGTTATATAAAAACCCATTCATAGAACAATACAACCCTGACATTTGCCTTTAAAAAAAGAGATGTTCCAAGATAAGATTAATACTAGTTTGTTTTAGATAGCACAGTTCATATTTATTATTCCCCATTTTCAACTGATTGTAAGCCTGGGGAATTGAAACAAAACTGGAAAAACATGTCGTGGCACACTTCAAAGTACCCTTTTGTTAGAGTTCTGTTTCACTTTCCCCTTCAAGAGAAGCTTGTTTTCAGAATTTGTACATTAGTGTAATTGGTTGCACTTTGCCAACTGACACAATATTTGAAAGACTTCTCAGTTTCCATTACAGTTGCAGGTTTTTGTGCCAAGAGTATACATGAAGTTCTAGAACATCATAAAAAAGTAAATCTTGTGAATCTAATAAAACTTACTGATTTGAATAGATTTCTCCTTGTTTACTAGAAATTGAACTATGGGTAAGAAATGTAGAGATGTACAAAACCATTTATTTCTTTATATTTGCCATTCTTTGCTTTCTAAAATCAATGGTAAATCTACTCTATGGCATAGCTTGCTTTCTAAAATCAGGGGCAAGAATGTCTCAAAGTTTTCTCTTTCCAAATACAGTAAAACCTCTGGTCACGAATGCTTCTGACCACGACCAAAAAAATTCACATTTTTTTTCCCGTGTCTGATTTCGCGCCATTTTTTTTTGTAAGTGCCAATTTTCCAAAATTAGGTTTGGGTCATGACCAAATCGGTTTGCGACCAAAGTTATGGAACGAATTATGGTCATGACTAGAGGTTCTACTTTAAATTGCTATAAGGTAAGAATTTGTTTTTCAAATGAAACAACAGTTCTACAAGTAGATTTATTGCTAGCTGGTGATTTCCAATGATCAGTTAATGTGCACAAATGCAACCATGATATTGCTAATGCATTACAAATTTATTTATTTAAAACTTGTACAGCTACCCATTTTAAAACCAACTCTATTTTATTGCTTACAAACAATAAAACAATATAAAACTACCAACAATAAATTAGTAACAGAAAAACTGGTGTTATCAATCACACTTTCTGGATCTTAATAGAATAGAATAGAATAGAATAGAATAGAATAGAATAGAATAGAATAGAATAACAGAGTTGGAAGGGACCTTGGAGGTCTTCTAGTCCAACCCCCTGCTTAGGCAGGAAACCCTACACCACTTCAGACAAGTGGTTATCCAACATCTTCTTAAAAATTTCCAATGTTGGAGCATTCACAATTTCTGGAGGCAAGTTGTTCCACTGATTAATTGTTCTAACTGTCAGGAAATTTCTCCTTAGTTCTAAGTTGCTTTTCTCCTTAATTAGTTTCCACCCATTGCTTCTTGTCCTACCCTCAGGTGCTTTGGAGAATAGCTTGTCTTTGTCCCATTCCAATTCCCATTCCCCACATATGTGGGAAAAGCCAGTTCTTGAATGGTCTCTGGAAGAATAAAAGAGTAGGGGGCTTAAGGGGTGAAATGCTCCCGGT